CATGGAAATTAAAGACTCAAGGGAAAGTTAGAAGCAGAAACCAAGATTAGCAATGATAGTGAAACCGAGAAAAAGAATCTGTTGAAGGTAATCAAAGTACAAGAAACTTTTTAAGCAGATCGAAAGCAATTTTTCATGCAGCCAAGCTCAGATAATGGAAAAGGCTAAAGAGATGACAGCTACATATGCCGATGTAAAAGAAACCGTAAATGAAAAAGAAAAAAGATAGAAAAAAGACATCAAGATCACGAAGGAAGAAATTGAGACGCAGCTTGCAGAGACGGTAAAGTAGAACGAATTTAAATCCCACATTGGGCAACGTGCAAGAAATATTGCTAATTTGGCTGATGTAAATAAGGACATAATCATTTTAGGATATGAAGAAAAAGTTGTAGAAGATGGAAATGAACGGTACAAGGACAAGACAAGTAATTGATTGTAAACATTCTTAAGGTCATAAATCCCGAATTCGCGGAGCAGAATATCATAGACCACAGGAGGCTGGGATTATTCGAAAAGGGAAACACCCTCTAAGAGTAACCTTCATAAATAACTACATGGTAACTGATAAAATAAAGAAAGTAAGTCTTGGCCACCCATGAATAATGTAAGAAAATCTGGATAAGAAAAAATATGACCAAAGATGACAGAGAAACACACACACACACACACACACACACACACACACACACACACACACACACACACACAAAAGGGATAAGTAAAGAACAAAAATGAACAAAGGACTGATGAGCATAAAAACGTTTATTTGGAGGGTGAAAAGTCTCCAAGCAAAGCAAATATACTATCGGAACCAAAATGTAGAGACTAACATTAACCCTGCAGCCAAAAGGAATACCGAAAGATTATATAGAAATAGTTTATACAAATAATGATGGTTTATCTTCGAAGTTGCTAGAGCTAGAGACAACAATTTGAAATTAATAAACCAGATGTAATATACATCACTGAAACCAAATTGGATCCCTCCATAGACGATGTAACATTAGGACTCAAAGACTATAATATTTGGAGAAAAGGTAGGGCAGATGGAATGGAGGGGGTAGCAATAATAACATGGAAAGGAATTATTACAAAGGAGTTAGAAATTAATCAAGACCCCATAGTGGAACTGAATTGAGGTAGAAATAATTTTTTTTTTTTCCGGCGCCAAGAGGTGTAGTACTACAGTATCCCATGACTTCGCCCCTATTTATGGGGGCGAGTCATTTATAAGCAACTGCACCTGGCTGATGAGCGCGCGGAGCACCTCTGCTCGTTTTAAAACTGGAGGAAAATGGGAAGTTCAAAGTTGATGCTGCACTGTATGGTGCAATATTAGTAACTTTGATGATGTTAATGAGGATATTATTGCACTAAGTACTAGTTTAAGAGTACGCGCGCGCGTGCATGTATGTATTTATATTATACATACAGAAATGTGTATATACATACATACCTATATATACAGTACACACACACATATTTAAACACATATGTACACACACACATGCATATATATATATAATATATATATATATATATATATATATATATATATATATATATACATTTATGTATGTATATGTATATATACCCATATATATATATATATATATATATATATATATATATATATATATATATATATATATATATATATATGCATTTATGTATGTATATGTATATATACCCATATATGCAGAAATATAATATTAAATATATACTTCCATATATAACAATATAGAGTTTAAGGTTTGCTTTCGTATTAATAGGGCTACGGGTAAGAAGAGCGAGGTTCAGGTTTATCTTTCGTATGTGTACAATTTTATGCAATATGTCATGTAAGGCTTGTTACAGTTTTTCTTATATCATTTATACTTTAATCTTGGGCAATATTCAAGCCTCCAAAAGTGTTCCATGAGGAATAATATACGGGGAAGTATCTCATGTTTTATTCACAGAATGTGTTCGAATGGTCAAAAGAATATGAAAATTTATATTAGGTTTTACATACTAATTTTACTTATTATGTATGTATAATTGAATATGCAGACGTAAACTTATATATCCTTTTGAATGTAGTTGATATCAATCAATAAATAGTGTCATTTTCAAAATATTTAAAGAAGTGTGACCTTCGAAACCATTGTCGATGGACGAATGACGAAGTATGATGGGAGGCGCTTGGGGCCCGCGCATTTTCAACTGATCTCGATAGTTTTCGAGTATTTATTTCCTAATGGTACATCAGTAAACCAGTGATTTGTTAATTGATATAATTCAAAAACAAAATCAGATTCGTCAACTCGAGTACAATTCCTAGGAATGGGGGTGGAGCCGCACCTGTGGCAACAAAGAAGCATCGGCAGCGTTGCTGGCGCGATCGGCCCGGAGAAATGAAAAAAAAAAAAAAAAAAAACTTTCTATTGTAGTTAGACAGTTTCTTGGCACCGGAAAAAGGCCTATAAACGGGGTAAACATCATAACCACAGTATATATGCCACCTCTTACATCGATGTGGTCACAAGAAAATTAGCAAAAACTAATTTAAGAGACATTAAAGAACCTGGAAGAAGCCTACAACTTTCGGAAACCAATGCAAAAGAAATTCCTATCACGTGGAATTTTAACAGCTGTGAAAGTTTCGATCCCAGAGCGCAACCACATTCGTGGAGTGTTAAATTACTAGAAGTCATAAATGAGTATTGATTTTTCCAGAATGTAGCAGATCATGCCAGGATAAGAGGGCTAGATAGGCCGTCTATGCTTGACATAATATTCACAAAGCATAACGATGATATTTAAGATATCGAGTTCTGTCGACCATGTAGTGATTAAACTAAAATACTGTCTGCTACAAGAACTCATCGCAAACAAGGAAAGAAAGGAAAAGTACAATTACAAAAGAGGCCATTATAGAAGCCTTAGATTTCTTTGACAGCAAAAACTGAGAAACACTTCTGGGCGATAAGAATCTTGATGTTCAGTATTCAAAATTTTGTGAGATCTATAAAAAAAGGAGTAGTAAAATTCATATCAAAATTCAAAATTGAAGCAAGATATGGCGAAAAATGGTTCACTGACAAATGCAAGAAAATGAGGAAAAACAAGCAGTTCCTTTGGAAAAGATTCAGAAGATACAGATCTCAGGCAGGGTATGAAAGGTATAAAGTTGGAAGAAATGAGTATACCCAAACCATGAGAGAGGCGAAATTAGACTTTGAAAAGGATATAATCAACAAATGTACATCAACCAAAACTCTTCTTTAAATACATAAATACTAAAACTAATTTTGTTTTAAAGGAAGTTCATGTGTAACAAATCTCTGTTTTTATGACAGAGTATCTGAAATATAGAAAAAAACGGCTGGGTGGATTGTGTGTACTTGGACTTTAAAAAGGCTTTTGATAAGGTGTCTTATAGAAGACTATGGAAATTAGAGCACCTAGGTGGAGTGAAAGGTAAATACTCGCATGGATGAAAGACTCTTCATGCAAGACAGATGAGCACAGTAAATAGAGGTAAGTATTCTACATGGCGACAAGTAAGCAGCGGAATGCCTCAAGGATCGGTGTTGACACCAAATATGTTTACTATTTTCGTCAATGATTTAGGGTCGAACTTAAGCCCAGGTAATTATATAAATATGCTTACAGATGATGCGAAGATACAAAAAAGGATACCAGACAACGTCTCATGCCAATGCCTCCAAAGTGACATTGTGGAGTTGTAAATGGAAAATAGAATTCAATACCATGTAGGTTCGGAGAAAGTAGAAATCGCCCACTATTCCAAGATAAATTAGGAGACGCAATATTAATTAAACACAGCTGACAGGAAAAAGATCTTGGGATAGTCATAAATAGAAACCTAAACCCAAACGATCATATAAATGAAAAGGTCCACAAAATGCTAAGATGGATAGCCAACATGAAGAGGGCATTCGTGATATGGCAAAGATCATTCTAGCATTATATATAGTCTTGAGGACGGTGCAGTGGTATGGCGGCCACAGTTAAAAAAGGATATTGACAAACTAGAAAGAGTTCAAAGATCGGCCACAAGAGGGGCACCTACTATTAAGATGTAGCGTGGTAAAATTGTGGGGGCACTGACACTCACCCTGCTACAGGAGCTGACGAGTGATCCTCGGACCACAGAGATGTGGGCAAGGGCATGGGGAAAAGCCGGGCATTTCTACCTCCTACAGGAGTCGTGACACTGTTCATGCAAATGGCTTTATTTACGAGCACTATCACTACTACATCCTCGGTATCACAGATTCAGACACATGAAAATCACCGGCAAACAGGGCAGCGCTGCAGTACATCACAAAATATCACGAAATGCACAAATATCAAAGTCAGGAGTCCTCCCCAGCCCACACTAACACCTCTCCACAGTCAAGGCCACCCGCCAACTGCCCTCTGTGGCGACTCCACGGCGCGTCACGACAGGGGTTGCCAAGTACCCAAATTGTAAGAGGTTTGAGTGTGGGCTAAATGAACTATCGGACCCAAAACGTACAATATGTCTTCTGGAGGTAGGGCGTTCAGAAAAAGGGCAAGGGCTTGACAAAAGGGCATCAGAAAAAGGCATTAAAATAAAAAGTGAACACCCCAAGTGGGCAACACGACCACCCGTTCGCATAAGCGAATCCATGAATCCGGGCGCGTTCGTGTAACTAAAAATATGTAACTCTACAGCCCCTTCTCCGGGACGGGAAACGCCACACCTTCGGAAGGGCCAGTACCCAAAAACAATACAAATAAACTTAAAATCAATGAAAATGGTAAAAGTAAAAGAACATCAAAGCACCCCCCCCCCCCCAAAAAAAAAGAAAAAAAAAAGAAGAAAAATACAAGTGACTAGTAAAAAAAAAAAAAAAATCACAAGAACATAATTAAAAGCAACACCTCACAGCACAAAGCTCAGGAGCTTAAGGCACACCATAGTTCGCTATCAACTATTCAGTTCGGTTCACAATACATGTCACTCACACACACAACACTCGGTCGTTCTCCTCAAGGAAGTCCACTTCAGCGGCTGGAGTATAGGGGCGCATCTGGTTGGCATGGACAGTGACAGCACGGTGTGGGGGCCGAAGGTCCAGGACATTGTAACTAACAGGGCCTAACTGCTTCTGCACGCGGCAGGGACCAAGCCAGCGATCACCCAAAGGTCCATGGTTCCTTTGGATCTTTCGCAGCACCAGAGTGCCTTCCTCATAAGGGCCAGAGTTGCGAGCAGCCTGGTCATACTGGGCCTTGTTGGTCTCTCACATCTTCCTGCTCACCTCAACAGCTAGGCGGCAGGCATCTGCAAGGCGAGCCAAAGACAGGTCCTGGTCTGCAGTCTGGCGGTTAGTCAGGCCCTTCCCAAAGAGCGCCATACAACCTGTCAGCAAGTACAACGGCTGGTCCCCCACGGCCCGGTGGATGGCTGAGGCGCACTGCAGGCAGATGAGTGGGCCACTGTGAAGGAGCCTGCCTAGCCAGCGCCGCGAATATGTCCTTCACTGTCCGGTTGGTGCGCTCCACCACCCCATTGGACTGGGGGTGATAAGCCACCGAAAAAGAGTGCTGCACTTGCAATGCCTCCAGAAGCGAGTGCCACTCATCAGAGGAGAACTCCAGGACATTGTCTGTGTAAAGATGGCCGGGCGGCCCAAAGAGTGTCATGTAGTGATCCACAAAAGCCTGCAGCACTCTGTTGGCACTCTTGTCATGCAGTGGAACCAGCTGTATAAACCGAGTGTGATAATCTACAATGGACAGGATATACTGAAACCCTGTTGCTGATCCCCACAGGTCCATAAGATCGGCTGAGACCCTCACCAGTGGAGCCTCTGGTAAAGGATGTCCTTCCATTGGAGCACGACCTGCCACTCCCTTGCGCTGCTGACAAGCATGGCATCTAGCCACATACTCCCTCGCCAGGCGGTGCATATTGGGGAAGTACCAGGCACCCTGCAGGTTCTGGAATGTACGGTGGACCCTGGGATGGATTGCATTCGGTGGGCAGTGTGTGTGGTTCAGGGCCTGTGGCTGGAGATGGGGACATAAACCTGCCTTACTACCTGGTCTGGAAAAGTCCGCAGGTAGTACAGGACGCCCTCCACCTCAAAACTGGAAAGTGCTGCAGGTCTCTCCCCAGGTACAGTTTGGCGACCCTCCAGCCAACCAAGCATGTCCTCGCATACTGGGTCTTGTAGCTGGTGTTCCCGCACTTGCACAGCCGTCATCCTGGTGAGGTCCAGCGGGTCTGTAGCATCCTCATGTGGCTCTTGGGCCTGCTCTAGTGGGCAAGCTTTCTGCGCAGGTGGAGATCCATCACCTGCAGGGCGTGAAAGAAGGTCTGGCACGTGGTTGCTGGCCCCTACCTTGTACTTCAGCACAAAGTCTTATCCCTTAAGCTCGTAGGCATGCCGACTCAGACGGGTGCTCTTTGTGCGCCCGGAAAATACCTCAATCAGGGGCTGGTGAACTGTCCAGACTTCAAACCGTCGACCATAGATGTACGGGTCGAAGGCTCGGACAGCTTCCAACACAGCCAGTTCTCGGACGGCTACCAACACAGCCAGCGCCTCCAGGTCGATAACGGCGTATCGGGTCTCAGCATCCTTCAGGGTGCGGGACCAGTAGGCAATAGCATGAGGCACACCCTCTGCATCATGCTGAAGAAGGGCCCCACCTAAAGCCTGTGTGCTGGCGTCGCAGTGCACCTCGAAGGGTTGACTGAAGTTTGGCAGGCAAAGCACAGGGTTCCTTACCAAGGTGTCCTTCAAAGTGGTGAAGACCAGCTGAGCAGCATCTCCCCACTCAAACTTCACCCCTTTCTTGGTAAGGGCTGTCAGGGGCTTAGCCATCGCCACGAACCCCTGGATGTGGCAACGGAAGAAACCACAAGCACCCAGGAGAGGCGGACATCCTGCACTGAGCGAGATCGTTTCATCTCAGCAATGGCAGTAGTCTTGGTGGGGTAGGGTCTCACACCCTCAGGACCAACAATGAATCCCAAGAACTTCACCTGGTGCTTAGCAAGTTCACACTTCTCCAGGTTTAACTTCATCCCTGCGTCATGCAGAAGGGCTAGAGTCTCCTGGAGATGCAGGTGTTCGCTGAAGCTTGCCGATGCAACCACCACATCGTCCAGATAAGCGAGGGTGTGACGTCCCAAGACAGAATCCAAGACAACGTTCATGGTCCTCTGGAATGTTGATACAGTCGAGAGGCCAAAGGGAAGCCTGCGAAACTGCAACTGTCAATGGCCGTCACTAAAGGCAGTCTTTTGGCGATCGTCAGGGTGCACAGAGATGGCCCAGTAGGCTGACCGGCTGTTGAGAACAGTGAACCAGGTGCGCCCTGTCAATCCAGCATCTCGTCAATGCGGGGAAGAGGGTAGGCGTCTGGGGTCGTCACCTGATTCAGGCCCCGGTAGTCGACACAGAACCGGTGAGTTCCATCTCTCTTGACCAGTACCACCAGTGACAGCCT